GCCTATCTTTAAACGGCCGTATCTCAAGAACGGGGAGTCGTAAGAAGATGGAACAAAAAGAATTTCGAAGAGGAGATTTCGAGGTTTCCAATAATGTACTTACGAATGTGATTCGGCGAGGATTGGAAAATAGAGGAGGGTTTTTGAACAGGGCTCGATGGAAGGGTTGCTCCATCCGATGGGAACGAATTATACGTGATAAAAAATTGTGAACAGATTATAGTAACGCGATTATGGTATAATCAATATTGACACCAATATCTCTCTCGTTTTATTTCCAAACTCTTTAGAAACTCTCTTGCTAAATTTCGCCGATATAATATTACCCACGATCCTATTACCCAAGAGGATAATAAAAAATCAAGAGAAATTCTAAAGAAATCGACAAAATCGTCAATCGACTGTATAGAATACGAAAACGATGAATAATCACAATCGTTGTTGGCAACAAACACGCGAAGTGAACGACGAGTATAAATTATTTACCCGAATTTTTAGATTACTCTTCTATGTGGTGTCTGGTTTAAAACGAAGCAAGCATCGTGAGCATCTCCTGTGGAAAATCCACGCGCAGCTCGGCTCACCGTCCAGGGACAATTAGCCGGAGCCGGAAGCGGTTAATTGACAGGGCGGAGATAAAAGAGGTTGATCGAATCGTAATCGAGGCTTCCACGATCTCGAACACGTCGATAGTCCCCCGTCAGACGTCGTCCACGTTCCGATAAGTCTGTCTGGTCTGCGTGACGAGAGCTATTCTCCGTGGACCGGTCCCAGAGGAGCACGTCGGTGCAAATTGAATATTTGGATGTTTCGTTTGTCACAACTGTCTGTGCAACGTTTCTCGAGGAACGTTGACGTCGACTACGCCTCTGATTTACAAAGGATATTATCGCGATGGGGACGGGTTTTGACGGTCATTCACTTGTCGATATTTGTTTCCCTTCTAATATTTCCGATTTATTTTCCAATATTGGCGCGTACATTTTATTCCAGTAATTTTCTCGTAAAAATAATTATATTGAAGAACCGTCGACAATAATTGCAGTCGTAAAGTTGGATCATATTTTTAACGTATTTTTTAAAATTATTTCCTCAAATATCAAGAGGACAAGTAATGGAAGAAACGTAGATATAAACTCGACACGTATTACCGTTATTACCGTGATATTTACAGTCGTTAGGTTTTGTATCATTTATCCAAATTTTTTAAATACTTTTATTTGTTATCGAAGTAGAAGTAATTTATACGTATTAATAAAACGGTGAACACACTTTCTAAACACATTAATAGGAAACACAATGGAAAACGGTCACGAATTATCCGTTATTCATGATCGATCGTCTGAAAACATCGGACGGGTGCAATGGGCACGAAAATTTCAACTTGGAAATTCGTAAAACGAAATTCACTTACCTCGGTTCCGGATGGTCCCTGCGGAGCATCGTCGTCGAAAAGTTGCCGCGACAAGGGAGATAATTAATGAAGGATGAGACGCAGCCTCGCGCCACGAACTTTGCCCATCGTTCGACCCAATTTCCACCGTTCGGGCAATTTGTCAATGTAGCGGGATTTTTCGATCGTAAGATTGTCGCGGGGGGGAGGCCTCGTCTTCCGCAAAGGAACTTCTGCTCCATCGTTCGGTCCCCTCGAATAATTGTATCCCAGCTCGATTTTTATTTCGAAAATTTATTTTTCGACGTATAAAATATATCCGAAGTTTGAACCGAATGAATTCACATTGTAATAATTCTTCGTCAAATTTGTGTGAATTTTTAAAAAATATTTGCGAAATATTCGCGCGAAATATATTACGAACAACGACGAGTGTCGATGTGACCTGTTAGAAGTTTCGATTTAGACTGAAATGAAATTTTCGAGTATACATAGTGTATGCATACATGTATGTATACATACGTACATTTGGAGAAAGATCGTGGAAAGGGAAATATTTTGGTATTCGTTTATACGAGAAATTTTCTGGTCGGTCGTCTTCTTACTTGTAATAGTTCGTATAGACGATTGAAATGAAATTTTTTTAAAAAAATGCTCTTTATCTCTCTGCAAATAAAAAACAATGTATTTGAAATTCTTTTTCTTTTTTTTTTTTTTTAAATATAAAGATAAAAGAAATTTGGTTTAAATCGTGATTGTGAAACTCGATGTGAAATTCTTTTTTTATTTTTCCTTGTCGCATTATCTATAAAATTAAAATAAAAAAAGGGGTATATTGTACGTGTACAATACAATAATATTCAATTTCGAAGAGACTTTGAATATCTTCAAAGAATAGGAAAGAGGTTAAAGAAAACGAAAAATTGAAAAAAGATCCACAGGAAATACACAATGTACAATATAACGTTGCGTTTATTATTATCATTAGTCATTAACCACAATCGTTAAACGTTCACTTTCGTATGATACAATGTTAGTTTCTATACACATTTCTCCTCCTCCTTCTCCTCCTTCATTTTTCCCTCTAAAGTATTCTCTTAATCTGCCTATTTAATAGTTAGTTCTTCTTTTCTTACGTTTCCTCTTAGTATCTTGTATTTTTTTTTATATACAAAAGCGATGGATCATTCGTCCATTCGGCTAAAGCTACGAACAATCCAATTTATTTATTTATTTATTTACTTATTTTTTTCTCGCGATTGCGGTTGGTCTAACACGCGACTCTATTTCTCATTCCTCTCACTTTTCTTTCTTTCTTTTTTTTTTTTTTCACTTTAATTTCTCACCCTTTCTCACTCTCATCCCCTAAAACATCCAATTATTCTTCGTCGAATCGCTCGTTCCGCTCGAGGAATCTTTTTCTTTTTCTTCTTTTTCTTTTTTTTTACACGATCGTTTTTCAAAAATTTCCTTACATTGACACGTTTTCTAATAATTCGTTCGTCTCTCGTCTCTCGTTTACGTATATTGGCTACAAAATAATTGACAAAAACCTGTCAAGTAAGTCGACAAAATTTCAACCACCACATTCGTATCCATTCGTCCTAATTCGATGGATTATTATTTATTTATTTTTTTCTCTTCTTTTTTTTTTTTTTAAGGGAAATTTTTATTCAGAAGCGGAACGAGCACGATTCTCTCTCTCTCTCTCTCTCTCTCTGCTAGCAGCGACAGGCACACGATTGTTCTTTGATTGTTAAATAAAAAAATATCGCGGGAAGGACGATATACGTGGTCACTCTTTGGCGAAGTTTTTAACTATTACTTTACATACTTTGTAAATGGTTGAACAAAATTATTCTTTTTTCTTTCTTTTTTTTTTTGTCGAAATTTTCGTCAAATTATCTTCTAAATATAGAATTATGGCGAGTGGTTTTTTTTTTTTTTTTTTTTTTTTTTTTTTTTTTTTTTTTTTTAATTATTATTACTCGTAGTTGAACTACCGCACATCAAAGATCTCGATTTATCTCGCTAAAAAATAATTCTGCGATTTCTGCGTTAAACTATAGAAGTTCGGATTAGTAGATTCGCAAAGCGATCACGTTCACGTATATATACAATCATGGCAAATCTTCTATCGTTTTACTACTTGTAGAAACTTTTCTCAAACTTTTCCCCCGTATGGTAATATCTCGAATTTCCAGAAGAATTTCAAGTTTTCCTTTCGAATCGTAATCGCGTGTCCGATCTAAAAGTAACGAGACTGATTTCTTTTGTAACTGAAATTCATATAATTCGGATAAAGAATCGAATTAATAGTAATGAAAATATATCGTATAACGTTATTAACAGTTTCATAAAATACAACTTTAGAAAAATTAAACAACGAATTTATTATTACATATATGGTTAAGCTAGAAATATTGAAAATTTTATTCGTTGATTAAAACAACGAATTATTCGATTATAAAAATTTTTACCAACAAACAAAATAATAAAAGAAACTTGCCTTATTTCTTGAAATCCATTTTCGTTTACATTTAGATTTCGCATAAATTCACACGTAATCCACAGCCAAGTCACTGAAAATAATTCGTGCAAATATCTGTTACATTTTATTTAATTGGAAAAAAGATCAATTAAAAAAAAAAGAAAATCACCATTTCGAACGGCAAGTCTCCTTACTTTCAAATCTAACCACCGGATAGAAAGAATTCGTTCCAGAAAAATACGTTGGATTAAATCGTCGACGAGGAGACACGATCAATTAGAGGATGTTGGACACCGGTCCAAGGCGAGTATCCAAGGAAATATTTCCATTGCACGCTCGCCTCGATTTCGAGGCGTCCTCCTCCCTCCCTCCCTCGAAAGAACGACGAGAACGATTTCCGGATGGTGTTCAGGCGACAAATACAAATTCCAGCTGCGCTCAAACACACTTATCATCCCCGTCAGAATCGGTCCGGTCGCGATAGCTCGAGAAACGAGCCGCCCCTGGAACCCGTGCCCGTCCCTCGTAGCTCGTGAATCTTCCACCCCTTTCGCAAAGAACGGGGATGCAGCTGCCGGGGAAACGAGGCAAATCGCCGCCTCCTCCGTAACACCGTAAACCTTCGATCGATCGTTCGTTTCCCTGTTTCTTAATTATCGCACTTTCGTCACATCGATCGCATCGATTACGTCGTATCTCGCACAGTGAATCGAAATTTTTGTGTATCGAACTTGTCGTGTGTTCCTTTTTTGTTGGAGGATGTTGCGAAAAAATATTCGTATCGGACGAATCGAAGGTTTTTGCGAATTAAGAGCTGGTAGAATATAAGCTGTTGACGGAGAAAATGAAAATTTAATTTCAACAAGTTGTTGTACAGCGTTCTTTCGCTAATATTTATTGGAATTTTCTCGAATTTGTCCCTGAAACGAAGAGAATGAAAATTTTTTTTTCCTTCGCGCAACGCGAGTTTCAAATTTTCCTATCGATTTATCTCAATTTTCGAAATCACAACGAAACAGAGTTTTGAGAACTCGAAATTCGGGACAATGTGTAATTAATTAGAATTTTCTTAATCCTATTATCCTCCGATCTTAGTCGTCTCTCACGACGATTCGCAAGATCGATGGAATTGTCTGCAATTGGACGAATCGAGTCCCCTGAAGTTTTGTCGTGACCATGTCAAGCTTATGCACAACGGTTTTAGGAAAATATCCGCGTGAACCTGTCGCGTTGAAAGCCGAAAATGTCTCTGGTCTTGCGTTGGAGGCCGCGATTCAGACGACGTTGTGCGAGAGGGAGCCATCGTCCTGCCACGTGTTCGCTGGAAAGAAAAAGTCATCTTTTCAGATTCTCATCGAGACGATCCCTTCGCTAAATGTAAGAAGTTTGGGGGCTGCTCGAGCCTGGATAATTTCCTGGGTTACCTCTATAGTGCATGTCCTGGGCCATCGATGGACACTTCGCATCTGGTCTCTGTTCAACAGAAAAAGAAAGAAGAAAAAGAATTTTATTTAACTGCACAAATGTTAAAACTTGTAAAAATAACGAAAGCTATTTATTTTTGGATTTTCTCAAAATTAATTAAAATTCTATCCTTTCAATCATATTCGTTATAATTTTTCTGATATTAAATTAATTGTAAATTTCGAAACACTAAATATACGTATTATTAAAAAGAAAATCTACTTTACAATTTTCTCTAAATAATCTTAACCTTAATCTTCACTTACAACCAATATTTATTTCTAAATTTATTTCTAAATTTTTCGAACATATCGCATTCTTACGTTTATAAATCACGTGTATATCTCTAGCCGATAAAAAGAAGAAAAAAAAAAAACACATCCCTTCGCGATTTAATTTTGAACTCTAAATTAATTGTAAATTTCGAAACACTAAATATACGTATTATTAAAAAGAAAATCTACTTTACAATTTTCTCTAAATAATCTTAACCTTAATCTTCACTTACAACCAATATTTATTTCTAAATTTATTTCTAAATTTTTCGAACATATCGCATTCTTACGTTTATAAATCACGTGTATATCTCTCGCCGATAAAAAGAAGAAAAAAAAAAAACACATCCCTTCGCGATTTAATTTTGAACTCCAAGCAGGCGTAAACCGATCGTAAAGATCTCTCAATCGAGCAACACCCCTCCCCATCCCCCTCTTCACTTCAGTAGATCGCGATTTAACGGATGAAAAATAATCACACGGAAGAGGTGCGGGGAGAACACGAACAAGTCAATTCACCTTGCGAAAATCGATGTTCGTCCGTATAGTCCTGTAATGAAGATCCTGTAACGGCCTCGAATTGTTTCCCAGGGGCGCTTTCGGGGTGGTCGGCGGCCCCTGCATTAGTTTCCTTAGTGCGTAAAGCTGGAAATGGGATTAGGATTACGATGTAACGATGCCGTTCCCTCGTTCAATATTTAACCATAAAGCAGAGCTTGTTAAGTAATGGCGCGGCCTGGAGGGGGGAGGAGGGATGGGGATGGAAGCGAGGTTGGAAGCGCAAGAATAGCGGGGCCGGGGAAGGGATCGAATCTCGAAAGTAATGTACTCTTAGGCTATCGGTGTTGGTGCGCCTGACACCTTATTAAATTATTTATTGTCCCGCGATTAATTTTGCAACGGTGGAGGAGGATTAATAACGGTGGGCCAAGGATTTACGCGCGTAAATTCCATGATAAAATTTAGCGCGGACTTCCGCCTCCCCTCCCCCCTTCCTCTCCGACTTTCTTCCGCGAAAATAAGTAACCTCCTCTCCTCAGGGGAGGGTAAATAATTAAACGAGGCTCGTGCGCGAAGGGAAGAAATTTCTTTTTTAACGAATTCGCGATTAGGCTAAGAGACGTGTGTTTATGAGAGATTTTTAGTAAAGAGATTTTTTGTTTCGTGGTGGTATTCTCTTACGGGGAAATGTAATTGCGTCGATGATCTAGATTTTGACTAGGTTCTAATAAAAAGATGAGTTCGTTTGTTAGAATATTTGTTAAAAATAATATAGTACTACGTTATGGCAATTTGTGTAATAAAAGCGTCTATTTAAATGATGAATTTGAGTTTATACTACTTTTAATAAATTAAGGGAAAATGTATGCTTTTAGAGATAAGGTTTAAATTTCATCGCTTGTGAATACATTTACTTAGCAAATTAATATGTGCATGTATTGTGTAACAAGGGTATGCATTTACTGAATTAATATATTTAATAATTCTCTGGAAAAGAAAAACATTCTTTTCTTTCTTTCGTTTTTCAAACGTTTATAAAATCATATGCTTCCCCCTCTCTCTGTTGTCTCTAATTTCACAAATAGTTAATAAATAAAAAAATATAAAAAAAGAAATTTATCAAGCTTTTTCCGTCCGAGTTTTTACACGATGAACAGCAAACTAACGATGAAACAACGTCACGCGTGAATGAGTCAATATTTGCAAATTGCCAAAGATGTTTCCAAATATATAATTCCAACGGTCTTCTAAATTTTCTAAAAATTTAAAAATTTTTCACAACCCGAAATTTTCCCTTGGAAAAAATTTATCTTCTGGGATCCTTTTTTATTTATTTTTCAACACCCAATATATATATATATATATATATATATATATACACACTGCTCCACAGGCATTAGAGCAACACAATTGGTAACGTAACGTAAATTCTTTCCTGATGCATTGTTCGAAAAAAGGATTAGGGTCGTCGCGTACATTTACACGGGGGGGGAGTGGGATGGGGGGCGAAGAAGCTTGACTAATTGACCGATCGACGCACGATCGCAGAAGGGCAATAAAAAAAAAAAAAAAGGGGTCGAGGGAGGAATACAAATTGAGGCGGATAGAAGGAAGGCAAAGAGGATCAACACTCACCTCTCGCGCTGTTACGTAAATAGGTTTGTTGAGGATCAGCCATACCGCCGTCTCCCAACAACCGGGGTGAGTCGTGCTGCCCTCGTAAGTCATGTAACCGTTCGTGTCTGGAAGGAGGCTCTTCAAAGACAGGTGACGTACGGGCGCAGCATCGCCTGCACAGAAAGAGGGCAATCTTTTGTTACAAACATACATACATATATATATATATACATTTTTTATCGTTCGAATCTATCGAGATATTGTGTTGTGCCACGTGCGTGGAATGGAATAATATATTGTAGGAATTTTATCGATGCGTGAAAGATGATATCGATTATATTTCAATTTCCTTTTTTTTTTTTTTTTTTTTGGTTCTATGATATTATAAAATGTATCGAGTGAAAAAGAGACTCGATGTGATAATCCAATAATTATGTAAACGATAAAATGATCGTTGCTCAATTCTTCTTCTTTTAATGGACGGAGAAAGACGAATCATCGAGAGAAGAATAAAAATGGCCACTTGAATAATGAAAAGCTCGCCTAGCTTAAAATATTATTCTTTTAAAGTCGATATTAATCAAATTGGAACTCAATGGTATAAGAATAAAATATTAATATTCATATCGGTGTAATTTAATTAGGAAATCCGTTCCATAATAAATTTACGATTTATTATACGATTAGCGTTCCTTCGTTCTATCTCTGCCTTCGTTTCATCTGATTCACCGAATCCAGTCCAAGGATCGAAACAGTCATCCTTTCCAAAGTGGATTTCTTCAGGGCCGATCACACCCTATCGATTATTCGTATCGTCGGCCGACGTATCGTCGAGGACACACCGCGACACACACACACACACACACACACACTGTCATCCCCCTTTTTACGAGTGAACGCGCCGCGTCGAATCGTTAAGTCGACGGAATAACCACGGTTTCTCTTTACGACCAACATCAATTTGTTATTGCCCCTTCCACGCGAAGATTTATGCGCCCTGGAATTACGAGGCACCGCGTTCCCGCTTAGCGGCTACGGCGCAAATCATCCATCGACAGTCCGTGTCAGTTGTGCAAGGGGTGAATGTGAAGGGGGCGACAGCAGGGAGGGTGTTAGAAGTGAATCGTTGATTCTTTTCCTATCAAAAGAAACATGCATATGAAGGAAAGATGCTGCGTGTAGATGAATACAGTGAATTAAAGATAATAAAGATTGATAAGGAATATATATGGAAAAAGGGGGAAGGGAAACGTAGGGGAGATATAAATTTTACTAATTTTTATCGATCATGGAGGTATTGAAAAAGGTTCCAATGATGAATAAAAAATTAGCACAGATGTAGAATAATAGGTAAATGTAGAGGAGGAAAAAGATTCCTCCTCGGTGAAAATATCACCCGAAAATCGTTCGTATGACGACTCGTGAAAGGAATTCTAATGGCAGGGAGAGAAGCGGTGCATGAACATCTATAAAATGAAATTTCAGCGATAAAAACAGGGAGCGTACAGAAACAACAGCCGATTTCACGACCTCGTTGCATCGTAGAATCTGCTATAGCAGATTCCCTCCCATTTCCATTCACCGCGAATAAATAAATGAATAAATAATATATACGGTGTACAAAGTTCCTTTCCCTTGGTTTGATCCTCCTCTTTTTTTTGTTTTTTATTTTTACCTTTTTTTTTTTTTCACACAGGCCGTCTGTTTCGCGAGTCGAAGTTCAAAGAGAAGTTGCCCCGGACGAATATCGAGTAATTTTGTCGCGTTCGAAATAACGCCGCTGAATATGCAACGCAGCGTTCTCTGCCGATAGAATAAGGGAACTAGACGAATTTTGATCGTTTAGCATGCAAATACTGGTGAAATTCAGACGAAAGCCTCGGCCCCCTCTTTACGGATGCGCTTTCGTTATGGAGGACAAAGAGAGTTTTAAAAAAGTTCACCCTTTATCCCGTTGGCTTAAGGTTGGCAGGGCTTTATTTTTTTCCTTTCTTTTATAGTCACCATCAACTGCATTGATTTTCCAAACGATTCGATAAACGACGAGATATAGGTCGACGAAATTTATATAAAATTGGGAATGAAAAGTTGGAAATCTGGAACGTGTCTTCATCTTTTTATATCAATATCAAATTCATTTCATTGCTTTAAAAGTTTTAATTTTCATACTTTTTTCTTTATATTTAATTCTCTTAGAGAGAAGTTTAAAAAAAGTTTAAAAAATTCTTCCAATTCTTCTTCGATTTTACATCGATTCCTAAAATAAATCAAAAATAACGTTTGCATCTCTGAATTTTTCTAAACGATGACATTCTCATAAAAAAAAAGTGTCTCAATTATATTCAACGAACACAATCCCGTTACTCTCCATTTAAAATAAAACTCTCCTTCGTTAAAAAAAGCACATCCTTTCCCACTCCAATCCGCAACAAACAATCCACAAAATCACACGAAAAACACGTACGCTCCCTTCGTCTCCCTCTTCAAAAAAAAGGAAAACCCACTAGCAACCACTAGAAACTTTACTAATCATCGTCATAAACTACGAAAACCTCTAACCCAATCCCACGAACTATCTCCAACTCTCTCTCTCTCTCTCTCCTCCACCCTTTTTCCTATTCACACCCTCTCCCTCTCGCTCTGGATTAATCCCGTGGATGATTAATCTCCAAAGTCGGGCGCCGTTTCCGTGAAAAAGAAGGAGCCGCCGCCGCCACCACCATCACCGTGAAAAACTTTCCCTTCGAATCGTTAATCGAACCATAATATTAAAAAAAAAGTCATCCTCGAACACGTAACATCCTCGTCGTTCCAAATGGCGAGAAGCATCTCCTCCTCCTTCTCCTCTTCCTCCTTCTCCTTCTCCTCTTCCTCCTTCTCCTTCTCCTCTTCCTCCTCCTCCTTCTCCTCGAGGCGGCGTCGCGACGTCGCGACGCGAGACCCGCGACGCAGAGCCATTACTCGTGCATCGAGGCCGCGTGACGTTAAGGAGAAGCGAGAGCGTGTGTGTCATGAGCGGGGAATGGCGACACAAGGGATAAATGCGGCGGAGCCCTCCCTCACAAGCCATCCGGCTTGTTCTCGTCTTCCGGAGAGGAACATTTTTAAGGACAGGATTCAGCCCTCTTAGAGGGCAGAAAGTGGCGGACCCGTCAACCTTTTATTCGTCCATTTATCCTCTCTCGCTTCCTCTCCGCGCAGCCATCTCTCTCTCTCTCTCTCATCCTCTTCCTTTCGCCATCCACCGTTCTCTCTCACTCTCTCTCTCGCTCGTTCAAAGGGGACGATCTCCTTTCACTCGAGACCCATTCGTTTCTTCCCATTCGTTACCACGTTGGACGCGCCGTCGACGAGACGCGTGCTCCTCCCGAGCTTTATTTTTATTTATCGCCACGACGGCCCCGATCCTCTTCTCTTCGAGGCGTCTTCTCTTGGAGGAGCGGGTGATAAATAAATAAGGAGGAATAGGGAGAGAGATATCGGGAGGGAAGGGGAAGGGAAGGAGGGGCATGTCTGTCGCGCTTTCTCGTTTGTGTGATTAATGGGCTGTTGTGCACGCTCGATGAGAGAATTGGATGGGTGGGGGTGGATGGGTGGGAGTGTTAATGGGTTGATGAGTCGGTGAGGATTAATTGGGGATGATTGGTGGGGGATTTGGGACTCGTTTCGGGCTGGATTTTCGATGACGTTTCGGGGATATACGTATATATATATATATAGATATTAGGAATGTACATTGGGGGTGGAAAATTTCGGTGGTACCGATTCAACGTCATGGTACATTATCGATAAATACTCAGATCAGAGCAAGGAAATACCGTCCATTCATCTCTCTCTCTTTCTAAAAGAAAAAGAAAGGAAGGAAATAACGAAGAATAAAGTGAAAGGGGAAAAATGGAGCGTAGAAGCATCGAGACAGGTGAAATAATAATAATAATAATAATAATAATAATAATAATAATAATAATAATAATAATAATAAAGGGGGAGAGCGAGAATGGAAGGAGGACGATAAGGAATCGAGGCGGAAGAAAGAGAAGAGAGTTCTTCCGGTGATTAATTGAAATGCATTAACTCTTGCCACGAAGAGTAGAAAAAAAAGCACGGGGAGATCGGGAAATAGTGTCACGCGCCGTTTCATCCCCCTCCAATTTCGAGAATCGCGATGAATTTTTCGAATTTCTGCTATGCGGTGCAAAAGGCTCGCGACCCACGAAAGAAAAGGGAGGAAAAATTATTCCATCCCCGTTCTCGCCAACGATGCGTGATTTTCGCCCGATGGATCCTTTTTATTCTTCTGCTGGACTGAAGTTAACTTGATAAACTATCATTGGGATATAAAGAATTTGTTCTGGAAACTTGATATATTTGGAATTTTTCAAATTTTATTATATCGAAGATTTCTAATTTCTTGTTTACTTGTTTACTCTTCGATAATTTCTCACGTTTACGCTTTTCTGAATATATATCGCAAAATCGGAATGAGATATTTAATCGATCGTAGAAATGAATTTTTGTCAAGGATCTATCTAGCTATCGATGGTCGTTTACACGAGTCGTTTTTTATTATTATTAATTTTCAACATTTCAACAAAATCGTAAAACTGAAGTTTGAATAAAGTTTGACCGGTAAAAAAAAAAAAAAAAAAAAAAAAAGGATGATTATTATAATAAAATATCGTGTGATATTTCTTTATCGAAGGCATTTATCACAAGCGTCGAAACAAACAAATATTTCGTCGTAACAGTTTTGAAAAATAGAAATTCGTTTCGATACGGTTTTGCAATTTTCACTACTTCTCCCCCCCCTCCTTTTTTTACGGATACAACTATATCACGACGAGGAATGGTTAATATTTGCACGAGGAAAATATTTCATCGATTCCAAGTGAACCGTATCCGTTCGAAAGCGGGCAGTTTCGGAATTTCACCCCCTTTCAGAATTTTTATCGCGAAATGGAAAGAAATAGAATCGAATCGTACGTATTGGGAATCACGGGGACGAAAGAATATATTTACTACGTTGTGGAATTTGGTCGAGGAAGGGAACGCGTTCCAAATTAAAGGTGCGGTGTGTGAAGCGGATTTGTAACCGTGTAATACCAGGTCGAGGAGTCACGCTACGAATACCAACGACATAAAATGAACTTTGAAGATAAAATCAGCCAACGTT